TGGAATAATTTGCCGAATAAATTACGACAAATATATAAACTAACATCTTTCACACAAAAGAAGTTAACGGAGTTCTTAGAATTAATACCAAAATTAAGAGTAATGAATAGAATTGCTGATATCACGATTTATCAAATGCGTTGTGACTTTTCGACATTAAGATCTGACTTATTAAAGCAGCATATTTTAGAAAGCCCAGGCAATGATCTTTGTGACTGTTCTCAAAGTGAAACAGTCGAGCACCTCTTTCTCTAATATCCAAATGACCATTTAGTTAGATTGAGACTCTTCGATAGAATAAGAGATCGTGATTCGACTGTCGACATTGATATTGAAACACTACTCCTGCGGAAAATCCTTTCTCCCCTTTTTTATCGAGATCTTTATAAAATAATAATAGATTATATTTTCAAAACAAAACGTTTCGAATGAATAACACTTCCTCTCTACTTCTCAGTTCTCTTCCTCTTACTTGTCTCTTATTTTGCAACTAAAATCATCTCTTTACTTAGATAAACATTTTTTATTTATTGTTGTTACTTTTTCTACTATCAGGAGGAGATGTCAAGAAGCTTATCTTATAATAAATACAGTTTAATAAATCAACTAAACAGGCGCCATATTTAAAGAATGGTGAACTCTAAGGTGTGAGTGTTCTTGATTGGTTGCTATCGATTTTTTATGACTCATTTGAACGGTCTTGACTCTCATCAGACCTGATAATGTTTCTTTCTTTACTAACAGAATGAGAAAAAGAATGAAAGAATAATATTAATTTCCCCATGTATGTTTCCTCGAAGATGAATATAGAAGGCACTGATTGTAGATTTTGTGGACTTTTTTTCTTGACGAAAAAAAGTTACCATGAGATTTGGGTGTAAAAAAGATTGTTTCTTAAAAATGAGACAACAACCTCTTGTTTACTAATCATCATCTGATCTATCTTCTTTACTTTTTTTTAATCCAATGTAGTGATTTCACGAAAAATCGGTTCAAGATCAGTAAGACTTTGATCATAATGCATATGACGAGCGTCTACGGCTAGAAACATTCAAAATATTCTAAGAACTGTACATAGCAAGCTTTCTTTTGAATAAATTTTTTTAATATGGAGAAGAATTAGTTATTTGTAAATCGAATATAGAACTGCTATAATTTCTTCGTCATTTGTTCCAATTGTCGAATACATTTGGATGTTGACTCGCCATACTCAGAGCGTATGGCAATAGCAGTTCTATATTCGATTTACAAATACTTATTTCCAACTGCTCTACCAACAAATTTAAGAATTAGTTAGTTTCTGTTTTAGATATTTAGCTTATAATGGCATCAAATATTAAACAAGACTCCGTATCTATTGTGAATGAAACTGAATCAAATTCAACAAATATTATCAGTGATGATAAACCGAATAGTAATGATTTATTATTTGAATCAGATGAAATATCATCAGACGAACAATTGTCTCAAATTCTTGCTACAATTAATCAAACATCTGATGATCGAACAACAACACCAACTTCAGAAACAAGTGATACGGTTGATAATGCTGTAACTGTTGAACAAAAACCAGAAAAAACTCGAAATATTCAAACACCTATTGGAGCTAAACTAGCGAAGAAACTAGAAACATTTGGTAAGTTATCTACTTTGCAACAGATATAAAAAAGAGATGTATTAGTAACAATTTTTTCTTCTTTAGCAAATAAAAAATCAGCCGAGGATAATAAACAAAATCAAGCAAACGGAAAAACAACAACAACTCCAGCAGCATCGTCAACAACCGCAACAACAAATTCATCTGAATCTGAGAGTAAACGACGTACAGAAAAAGCAGCTAGTAAGTTATTTTACGAAAATATGAACGAGCTATTTTGAAAAGTGTTTTTTTCTTCTGTTTAGAGAATATAATGAAAAACTTATCAGATTCTGATCCACAAAAGAATTTAATGTCATTATGTATCAAATTAGCCGAAATACAAGAACAACATCGTGTAACATGTGCGAAAGTGAATGAATTAGAAAAACGTTCAAATGTGGTAAGGCATCATCTGGAAAAATATTGTTCATTTTCTTTTCCTTTTTTAAATTTTTAAAGGAAATATTTAGTTATGTCTAAGCCTCGCTCAAAATGCTCGAATTTTTCCTATACCAACAAGATTTTCCTATACTTCAAACAAGATTTTAAATGTACTTCTATCACTGTATTCCATATGTTTTTTGAAATAGATAATGCGTGAACGTGATCAAGCATTACTGGAGAATGGTCGTGTAACAGCAGCCAAAGCAAAACTGGAAAGTTTATGTCGTGAATTACATCGTCATAATCAACAAATTCGTGTATGTTCCAAAACAGAAAAATTAACTATAGAAAAAACAAGCAATTTTGTTTTCACGTTTAGGATGAAAGTATGCAACGTCAACGAGAAGATGAAGGTAAACGGAAAGAATTAGCAACAAAATTTCAGGTAAATGTAATTATTCTTTCTAAAAACTTTGTTTCTACAGTTTAACTTATTCTTTAGACAACAATAGATGAAATTGCTGCACAGTTGAGTAATTATAGTGAGAAAAGTAGTAGTTTACGAGAACAGAATGTTCAATTATCTGAACAATTAGCAGTTGTAGTGAAAGATTATGATTTACGTGAAAAAGTAAGAAAGCTTCATCTTTTTGTCGTGTATAGTATGATCCTTGTTTTTTTTTTCGCATTTGCAGGAAGTTGAAGCGGCATTGAAACAAAAAGAATTAGAATTACGTTTAACTGAAGCTAGTTTAGAACAAACACGTTTATTATTAACGGAACGAACGGAATTGATTAAACAAGAGCGACAAGTTTCGGAAGCAGAACGTCTCGTTTTATTTAAAAAATGTGAAGAATTGGCAGCATCAGAATTAGGTCTAAGACAACAAGTAACCATTTATTCAGAACGTTATCAAGAATTTCAAAATGCTATAACACAAAGTAGTCAAATGGTCACATCATGTCATGCTGAAATAGAAAAAGTAAGTTTACAACAAGTAGTTATATAGTCCTTACTCAAAATTTCTTCTTGTTTTTTTAGATGGGAAAAAAAATTAAAAAACTAGAGAAAGAACGTACAGATTTTCAACATCGTTGGCAGTTAGCTGAACAAAATCAGAAAAAATCAGCCGATGAGGTAAATGAATGTTTTCTTCTAAGAAACGTGTTCTTGATCTAGCTTGTTGTTTCATAGACAAAACAAGTTGAAAAAGAAAAACGACTACTGGAAATAAAAATGGATAAATTAGAAAAATTAAGTCGAGCATTGCAACAAGAGCGTGGAGAATTGCAAATTACAATTAAAAGTCTTACAAAAGCGTCATCTTCATCGCCTATAACAACATCGAATGGTAATAATAGTGGTCACCATGGTGAGAGCGATGGATCAGTACAGGATGAAAATAAGCAAGCAATACCTTCATCTACGTCTGGTGAGAAAAGCAGTTAATGTTGATCGTCTTATTAATATTTTCAAGAAGTTCTCGTATGAAAGAAAAATTATATTTAAAAATTGTTCTTTGACTTACGAGAGAACGTTCCCAACTGTCAAATCGCTTTCGAGCCGAAACCTATTGGACTATAGGTAGTCGACCATGCTGATTCCGAATATCAACATGAGACGGGCTGCTAGACCTCCCGAGACTAGTTTTCCCGTTTTTCAGAAACTCTAGAAAATAACCAAAACCTTTCTTAATGAGGCATGATTGTAGCCCGCTCACTTCTGATTAAAATGAGACATCTTCTAGCTCTGTACGACCTTCTTTGCAAAGTTATCGAATTTACAAGACAAGCCCTCAATTAATTTCTTCTTATTAGTTTAAGCTATTTTTATTCTAAATCAACTGAAGTTTCCCAACACTAGTAATTCGACAAAGTCATTAGATACTAGTGTTGGATCTTAACGCAAGGTCATAGTGCTATATAAACAAAAACACAAATTATTATTATTATTTCTGTAGCTTTGAGCTGACAATGAACATTTAGGGCTTTTCTTGTAAATTCTATAACTATGCAAAGAAAGGTCGTGTAGAGCTGGGAGATGTCTCGTTTTAATCAGAAATGTGCGGGCTACAATTATGCCTCATTAAGAAAGGTATTTGTTACTTTTTAGAGTTTCTGAAAAACGGGAAAACCAGTCACTGGAAGTCTAGCAGCCCGTCTCATATTGATATTCGAAATCAGAACGGTCGACTAGTCCACTAGGTTTCGGCTCGAAAGCGATTTGACAGCTGGGAACGTTCCCTCGTTAGTTTTTAAAATGGTTAACACAAGTTGATAGTATATAAAAATTTTGAAGAATTGTGAATTGTGAATCTTAGAGTTCAGCTGTATTTTGATTTTCGTCTCAAATGAATATGTGACATCACTGAAAATGACTTGTATCGCTTTATCTTTTCTTTCTAGAATCGTCACTATCGTCTCAAGTAATAATCGCTCAAACAACAGAGAACACTAACGATTCTGATGCAACAAACAGTGCTGCAGTTGCCGATGATAATTTTTCATCATTTACTCCCATTGTTATACAAGAAAATGACGAAACTAAAAACCCAACATCAGTTGAACAATTATCCTCTCCTCAACCAATAACTCATTCGTTGTCGTCGGACATAGCAGGTTCACCAAATTTATATAATGGTAAGTGTCTAAAACCTTTTTTCTTTTACATTTCGTTTTTTTTCATTTGATTCTTATTTATTTTTGTTTAAGATAGTGAATTAAGCAGTTTTGTTAAAACTGTTGATTAGAACAAGACTGGATAGTTTTTTTTCGACGTATGTTGATATTACGTCTTAAAACTTTGAATGCCATTTCCTTTAAACTAGATAAAAGTAGAGCAACTCTGTAATTTTTTTCTTATCGAAAATTATATAAACAGATATTGTGAAACTAGGTCTTTTTTATATTCATGCTGTCTCACGCGTGTGAAATGAAAATTTTTTCCTATTGTTTTATTTATACTCTATCTTGCTACACTTTTTTTTAATGATCTATTTTTGTGACAACCTCTCTTTTTTGTGGTTGCTGACTTGCTCTTTAGAAAAAAATGAAAGAAAGAGCCTTGTTTAGGCGCGTGTGAGTGTGCGTTTGTACTTTTTTTTGTTACACTTGAAATATAAAAAGAAAAAACAATTGAAACGGAAATAAAACGTGCAATTAATTATGATTTGTTATTAGTAGTAAGGTAAAAAGCGTGATCCGATGCCATTTGGATAGTATAATGAACGAATCATGGAATTATAGATAGAATGTTCTTTTTTAGAGTTCATTGTTTACCGTTCAATTTTTTCGTATTCACTGAGAATAAATCTGACCTGGCATATGGATTAATTGATACCATATAGGTTCACCATTTTAATAAAGTATACATTATGCGGTTAAGAATGCTGACTAAAAACCAAAATACAAGTCTATTATTCCTCTAGATAATCTCACTAGGTTTATATTGAGATCCCTCTATCAGAAACAGATTTTTTCATAAAAAGTCGATATTGAGCTAATCTATACTATTAACTGCCTCATTTTGATTACTGTTCTGACAATATCTCGCGACAAGCTGAGCAAAAAAGCTTTGCCACCGACCTTTAAATGGTCAACGTTCCCTGAAAGTTTGATTCAGACTGGACTTGTGTAATCTCTTTCTGACAAAACCTTTTCCATTATGAAATAAATTTGCATGGATTTACATGAGCAACGCAGGTAGAGATGTTAGCGGATTACTTTATCGGCGGCGGCGTGAAAATTTTAAAAAAAGTTATAATTTTGAATAAATTTTCTTCAAAGAAGTTTTGAAAAAGTTTCGGGTCAGCGACGGCGGCGAAAAATTTCAAAAACAAATTCCATCTATGGCGGCGGCATGAAATTTCAAAAAAAAATTTCGGCGGCGACAGCGGCTCGACTAACACTTCTTAATGCAGGACTCTGTACAACATTAAATGCCACTGTCATATGCGCATCTCACTCTAATTTTTCATACACTCAAATAACTTTCGAAAAATTCTGATTCAAAGTAGAGATGTGCAGGGCGCCCTTACCCTACCCTGCAGGGTAGGGTAGGGTAGGGCCAGGGCTCTAATGTCACCTGAAGTCACAGAGTACGGCTTGGAGTTTGTCTGACAAATCTTGATGAATTATATCGTAGGTAGGACATGCAAGTCCTATATATATATATGAAGAATATTCAGCTCCAGCGGACGCGTTTTAGAAGGGCGTCGACAATGGCTGGATGGAGAAATGGTTGATGACATTTTGCTACTAAGAAATTTTAAAAAATGGTGATTTTATGTATGATTTATGTGAAAAAATAAAATAACTGATTGTCATGAAAAAAATCTCAAAATTTTCAAAGGGTAGGGCCAGGGCTCTAACACCACCTGAAACAACAGGGTAGGGTAGGGACAGGGTATAACCATTTTTTACAGGGTAGGGCCAGGGCTCCAGAAACAGCTACCCTGCACATGTCTAATTCAAAGCTTCAATACAAACTAAATTGTATGTATCGCAGATGTTCTCTACTAAACTACATAATTCGTAGTTTTACCTAATAATTGATTCAACGAAGAGTTCTGAAAAAATAAGACGTTATAACTTGGCAACCACCTAGTGGCAGCTCACATCATCATAATTATGAGTAGAACACTTTACTTTCTATACGCAAGATATATTAAAACCTTGAAGCTATATTTGGGTACGTTTCTTTGGCAAATGCCCTAGTGAACGTAGTTGAGTCCAAGTATTTGAACGAATACTTCGCCTGTATAATAAAGTCAGTGCTTTTTTTTCAGTCAGCCATTTTTTCACTATGAAAAATGTACTTGTAAGCATTTGCAGAGGCAGCAGAACCACGACTCTCTAAAAAAAATAGGTTTATTATGAAACCTCAAAAGGTATAGAGAAGTGCAACCATTTCGAAACCGTTTTAGGTTTCGTACTTTGACTACGAAATCTTTAATGATTTTGGGTGAACATAAAGGCTTCGTAGCCGAAGTACAAAACCCAAGAGAGATTCATACGAAACCTAAAACGGTTTCGAAATGGTTGCACTTTTCTATACCTTTTAGGTTCCGTAATAAACCTATTTTTTATGAGAGTAGGCTAGGTAAGGCTTAAGCCTTACCAGATTTTGGCTCTGTTATTCTGAGCCTTACCCCGTTTTGATGTAGAATTTTGAATTTAGCACTCTGTTATTTGGATAAAAGTTGGCTACATTGGCAGTAAGGCCTTATTTATCTGAAGAAAAGGCGAAAAAAATTTATAAAACCCTGTTTTTTACAGTATTTTTAAGCATAGAGAAGAACATCATATATGTGCGTTGAGGACTGGAGGCAGAGGACTGGATGGGGATAAAATGCTAACTTTTTGCATCAGGAAAGTCAAGAAACCTCGAAATGTAAATTGTTTTTTGTTCAAATTAGCGAGGTAGTTCTTTAATTAAAAATAGATATGCCACGTTTTTCAAACAAATATGCTTTTCTTTAATTAGTCTAGTGCAAAATTTTTCCCGTTTTTGGCCTTTTTGCTGTTAACTTCACTTTTTTGGAGTCTGCGAAAAACATCCTGGATGGCATGGAGCTCGAGCTGAAATTTTATTTCGCCGAATTGAGCTCAAAAAAATATTGACTTGTTTGCTTGTTGCTCTTGCTACGAAAGCTTTTACGGAAAATTGCACCTTCTCGAAAAAGTTTTTAAATCCGCCGCTGTCTTACCGTGAGCCTTACCCCGTTTGGGAACATTCCGCCGCCTCTGAGCATTTGGCAAATAGTACTATCATGTTTTGATTATTGGATTACAACTGAGAGTAGTAATCGCGATATGTAATTATACATTGTTGGTGTTGATATCATGAAAGTATAACAAAATCTTCACCTGATGACTGTAGTACACCTTTATTTGTATGAGAAGATCTCTGTCGATTTTATATAAGACTGTATAAACGGATTCTATTTTGTCATTTTCTGGGCTGTTGAAATTCGTATCCTATTAGCAGCAAGGAATGAGAGAAAGAGAAAGTAGTGCAATTTTTACAGATCAGTGTGAGTTTTGCGAAAGGTTTCATTACTTAACCATGCGCGTGGCTTATAAGAGAGACACTGTAGTGTGCATTCTTTTTATATGTTATTTATATCTTATGTACATACATTCTGACTTATGCGAACACATGTTATAGTAGTATTTAAGATGTCATAGCTTTCTGTTGTATTTGTTAATAAGTTTAGAAAAACGCTTTTTGCTTTACCTGTCGAATGGAGGAGTTTTCTCTTTTTGAATCTTATCCCCGACTTTGCGCAGGATTTCTAATCATGTCCACATTTGCAATAGAACTGTTATGTTCTCCAATACATAGCCTGTAAATTTAGAGTGCAAATATATTGGATCTTTTCATGAGCAGAGTATTCTTTTTAAAATGGGAGAGAAGCAAGACATGGGTTTTTTTGAGGCTGTTAAATATGTCATCAAATATTCACGGATCCCAGAATTGGTCTTCACAACGGTGAAGTAAACTCAAAAGCACATGTAGCATACGTTATCAGCCACATCAAATGTGGTACTGATATTCATTTTCCGAAAAAATCCCAAATCCTATGAAAACTTATTTATTTGAAAATAAATGATTTTGGGTTACTTGCTGCACTAAAAATTAAAGATCCATATATCGCTCAAAATCTATTTGAACCACTTGGAAACTTTCTTGTTCAACTATTTTGAACAATTTTCAAACTCAGTTTTTAATGAAAACATGTATATATATATAATATTCCACGGAAGTTGTTAGAAATAATTTTTTTGAGTAATTACAAAAATTTGATTAGTGAATCTGCAAATCGCAGATGATTTATTCTGTTGGGAGCATTTCCATACCAGGAAAGAACTAAAGTGGGAAATTTTTTCCTCCGAAAAGTGAAATGAATCAGCGTGGCCGATTATCCCTATCTTGACCCATTTTAGGATGATCCGAGGTCAACTGGCCGAAATCGGGGCTCTTGGAAAAGGCTTGTAGCTCCTGAACGGAACAAGCCAGCGAGCTCGGCCTTGCGTGTTTTTGTAGAGGATAGTATAGAAGATTGCCACCACCAAAAAATATAGAAATTTCTTATTCGCGCGAGGGTGGTTTTCCAGAGACCTTGTGGAAATCCCTAAAGGAACTCTGGAAGCTCACTGATTCTTCCATGTCTGAATGCCCTTAGGTGTCCTCATTTCAATGGCGAAAACTCAAACTCGCTAGCTAGTAACGTTTCTGATTTATTCAAAAAGCAACCGTGTCTATTCTTTTTTGAAATGGATGTAGCTACCTATTGCCGGCGCCAAAATACAAGGCCGGTAGCTGTTTTTCGGATAACTCCAAAACGATAGCAAAGACAGAGACCTGCGGTTTTTTTTAAAGTTTTTAGAGCCTAGCGAAACCTAAGTGTTACAAAAAACGAAGTGTTACGAGACTCAACATAGTCGATAAGCTATGTTTTCATGCATTCCGAAGGTCCTAAATCTAACGACAGAGAAGTTTTAAGGCTTCAGGAAAAAGATCTATAGGTTCCTTAAAAAATCGGTGGGTTCCTATGTCAATTTCCAGAAACTGAGCTGGTTTTTTCAAAGATCTCGTAGAAACCGACGGTACGGATATTTTTGGATAGCAATTTTGCTCGTGAAAATATTGATTAAAGCGTCCTCTTGCGACTGTTGAATACCGCAAGTAGTGGTTAAGGCTTCTGGACGATAGAACGTAGGAGGTCTTTTAGATACTGTTCATTAAATCTTTTTTAACATTCCCAATTAAAAGTGAAAATTGCTATAAAATGTAATTTTTTAAAAGGTAAATTATCTGTATATCGTATTTTTGTGGATGTATCGGTAATTTTTTCCCTTTTGTAATAGTCCAAGAGCTTCACATTAAATTGGAAAGTGGAAAAAGAATACGAATTCTTTAAGTCATCACAGTCATTTCGATAATACTCTTAAGTTTATGAACTTAGGCACAGTCTCGAGCCGTTAATTAGCCGTTTTTCAACATTGTTAAAAACCTTTGGACACGTTTTGAGTTACTTATTAAACTAAGATTAAGTTGTTTGGAACAAAGACAAAATTACAGATTAAACAGATTAAAAACACTCGAGCTTATTGGTGAGATGCTAAGAATTAGAGAGCTACTAGAAAATTTTGATGAAAAGATTTTGGTAACGTTTCAACTGAGATACAAATTATATTTTCAACTGAGGTACAATCCATATTTTAATCAAGGATCTCAGTTAAGAAACCAATATTTCTGCGAAAATATTCGTTTCTCCACTGAGATACATTTGATAAAATATGGTCGACTTTCACACCATTTTGCATACTTAGATAGTCAGGAGAGATACACCATATACCTAATTTCATTTCATTCACTATTGAATAATAGACCTTTGTACATTGCACTCTTGCACAATTACACGTTTCAACGCACGTATCAAAATTGTATCTCAGTTGAAAAATTCGCGAAATAATACATCGATACCATTTAAATATTTTTCATCAAATTCATATAATTTCACATCTTATTTAGAACTACCTGCAAATTATTTGTACATAAGAAATGATCCTCTGAAGATTTTTTTAATCAGTTATATGGTGTAAAAATAGCCAGAAATTTCTACCCATTCGCTCCTATGATTCCATGTTTTGTCTTGTATCTTTTTACCGAAATTACACAGTTCCTTAAATGCCTGTATCAAAGATTTTTCTCTCACTAAAACTCAAGAGTTCAAAGACTGACTGAAAAATCAGTCACGCCTGCAAAAATAATCATTCACAGTCAAGTCTCAGTTCATTAGGCCCTTAGCCACAGTCAAATCAAGACAGCTTACCGGTCTGGACAGGGACTTGCTCCCCTCTGTTCTGACTTAAAGAAAACCGCTAACTTTTGTTTAACAGACGCCATGCTGGCCTTACCGCTTATATTTTTAATTTCAAACACCTTTTGAATTCATAGATAAAGAAAAGAAAAAGAATTACTAGCGTACGAGCGTGAAATAAAGCGCTCTTCTACACATCTGTTCAAATAAAAGATGTCACTGAATACATAGAGAGGTTGACGACCGGAATGGCCAGAATCAATCACAACATATTTGTTTGTCTCATTATCTATATAATTCTGCTAAAGTAAATTCGAAGAATTTATCATGCTCAGCTGCATAAGACACTAGGAGTCTGGTGCGTTTTTATTAGCCTGTCGAAGGATAAATCAGGCAATGTAATGCAATGAGAAGAGTAAAACTAAACTTGCTGTAAAATTTGGTAGGCTACGTTCACACTGCAAATTTTTCAGAGCGTTCACATCTAAATCTTTCATACACCAATAAGATTTTGCTATTTGCCTAAAATTGTGCTGTTACCTTTTTGCATTTAGCTCCATGGAGAGACTATCTACAGAGTCTATTGAGTTCACATTGATGCTGGCTCCTTGAAGTTACTATTTAGAACTTAAAGGAAACAACGAATTGTGCTGCTTCCTGGCTTCAGTACTCTCGAAGGTTGCAGGTTGCTAATAGCTGACCGGTTTGAATTTGCGTTCTACAGTTGACTTTCTGAGCTCAAACAGAAAAATTGAGTAGAGAGTCCGATGTTTGTTTCCCCACAGACCTGACGCTACCTCCCATGTTTAATGGAACCATATTATGGGTTACCGAGCCCATTTATGATTGACAAGTTAAAATTAAATGATGTTCGAAGCATCATTTAACTCAGAGTTAACTTTCTGACCAATCACTTCGTTTTAGCTCATTTAACTTTTGTAGTGTGAACCTTAGTCTTAGTCAGTTATTATATAAATCTTTACAGTGCCGTATAAGGTAGCAGAGCGGATCTTGTTTTCTTTGTTTAATGTCAGGCAGCCACATTCTCAATTTAATAATGTCATTTGTATGGCTTATATGACCGTCACTACAGTGACTTTCATCAGCTACCAATATTTTTAATAGAACGGTGGATACGCAGATATATCACTAATCCACATGAATCCCTGAAAGCCACTGTCATTTTCAATGTGTTTCTAGCTTTAAATCTGACTATGAAGTGAGTTTTGACTGAACTGTAAGTTCTAACTGTAAAATTTTCACTGTGACGTTGATTCGAACGTCAGTAGAAAAATTCACCATAATAAAGTTTCTATAAAAATCGACTGTAAGCGCGGCTGACAGCTATTATGGTGCCTGTCGTGTGAACCACCGAAATGTCATTTTTAAACTGAGAGAGTTTAAGAAAGAAAAACTATCTGCTTTGCTAGTTTACATGAGTGGCTCACCCAAATTTTACAACTATTGAAGTTGAACAACTCGATAAGTAATCACAACAAGACAAAGTTAATTTTCTGACGAATGAAGGAAAAAGCAGATATAGTTAACAAAATAGTTAGCGTTCAGTTCTAGATATCCCGTACTCATTCGTGTTTTTCGCTTTGATTGATTTGCTTTCCTGTGTGGTGTTTCTTTTAAGGCTTTTTTTATTGCATACTTCTGTTAGCCAGTGTTTCTGATGGAGATCGTAAGGCATCTTTGCGCATATATAGCTGGATAAATGAGTGTTTAGATGACTTAATTCATCGCTAGTATTTTGAAATAGAAAAAATCAACAAGATGTGTTCCAGATCGCGTGATTCAGTTTTCAACAATATGCAAAGAAAAAAACTAGCAATGAAATATCTAAAAGTACTAAAATAAACAAAGCGTACTTTTTAATCAAAAGATAAAATAAAGTCTAGATTCAAATTTCGCCTATGTACAATACACTTTGTTTCTGCTTTTTGCATTTAACATTCGAAAATTCTGAAAAACTACAGTTCGATTCTTGAACTAATTATATCTTACGCAGAAGAAATGTAAAATGACCGAGAAAGAAAAGCTTGGTTCAACTGCCATCGAATATTGGGCAGAATGGCATGATAAATTGACTATTAGATGCGAAAAATGACCTTTTACTGTTCGGTGGGTTCTTGTTGTAATCAGATGGCTAATTAAGGTTGATGACTGAAGTGCAAACTCTTTCTGCTCTTTCTTTTTTTTAGCGTATAAATAAAAATTACACAATGTAAAATAGTTTCCGTACTTTCTAGATGGATGATTCGACACGTTTGACAAGTTCACAGTCCACTAAAGTGTTTATACAACGTGATTATTCAAATGGTACGGCAGTTAGATTTCAAGAAAGATTTCCAATCGAACTAGAAGGAAGGGTAAAACACATAGCTTCTTTCTCACACATTGTTAGATATTTAAACAAAGCATTTTACTCATTTTCTAGATTGACCAAAATATATTCGTTCACATCTTAGAAGAAATAAATAAAATCTACGATGACGCTGAACAATTGTCATTTAAAACATTTATGGAAAACTGTTGTGCGTGTTTAACCGGCTATTTGTTATTGTTATGTATGCCAACACATTATGAAAAAGTAAACAACAGTCATTTCTGACGTTTATTTGTAGTTAATTATATTTTCTATTTGCGTTATTTTAGTGTGTAAAGAAAGCAGCACACTATATAAACGAACAGAATGAGCATGTATTAAATCGGCAAGGCATATTAATGTTAGATCCAATGGAAAAAGGATTAAGATGTGTAAGTAATCCAAAGGACAAAAACGCACGATGCTGATTGAATACTAACATCTGATGTGCTCTTTTCTCCTGAAAATAATTCTTATCAACTTTTTTATTGACTTTATACTATACCGAATACTTGTATAACTCAATATGTATTATGAATTATGTTGTCTTATTTAGATCGAAGTTTGTATTATGCATGATCATAGATGATTTCGTTATCTCCGTCGAGAAAAAATGTGTTTTTGATACGAAGATTTTCTTTTGTTTATAATAAAATCTTATTTATATCCTGTTTAAACTTTTTTTTCATTTCATAGATATTATATTGTGATTGTTTTTTTGATTGCTTCAAATTTGACTCTAGTATGAAGCAAAATATTTTCCTTTTTTTGTTGTTGTTTTTTTTGTATACAATGTCTTAGTTTATTCTAAGAACACAAATATTTTCGAACAGTTATTTCTTTATTTATAAAAATGTAAATGTATAGGCGATTGGTTGTTCGTGCGTTTCTTTGTTTTCTTTTAATAATTTTTTTTCTCGTTCTATTAAAATAGAATTTGTAAATATAACATAAAGAAAATTTTCTTATTGTTAAATTGAGAACATATAAACGAATAAACGAGCTTTGATCAGAAAGCACTCAATTTAAATGAAAAATATCTCGCTTTAAATATCAATCAAATAACTGAAGAAAGTACAAATTGCCTGTGAAATGTTTAATGTTAAATGTGTGCAGCAAAGGAATAGGGTTTCCATCCATTCTTCTTTTAACGATAAGAATTTGCTTACAAAAAACAAATTTTCAATCATTCAGTGTGTATGTGCGTAGACGTCTATACAAAATAACAAAACTACTTTTATTTTACTGTAAAAATAATTTAAACATTTTTCAATCCTCGCAACAGCTGAATTTTCGACAAAAATCATTTTTTAATACTCAATTTCTTGTATATACTCTCGTCGCCGGCGCATGAAGTTGGTGTATTAATGTTAGGTTTCAGATGGATCAACCAATCCATTTGGTTAAGTTACTAGATTAGGTGTCAAGTACTTGTCTGAGAGATTCTCTTTTTGTTTTGTATTGACAAGTTGTATATAACCATCACCATACTAATCAATATAAACTTGGAAAATAAATTTAGATATATCTACTGAGTGAAACAAACTTGGTAGCCATGCATGTGACTGCTCTACAATAGTAGAGTATGGCTGCAGAATAAGTACAAAATACAAAATAAAGATAAATGAAAGAACTACTTGGCCGAAGTTTTTTAAGTAACTTTACTCACATTGGAGCAGCCAAGTGAGTTTCGAATTTACTTTTCAAGTAAATTCGAAGTACTTGTAAGCAAAATTATTTGTGAAAAACCACTAGATACTGACTTCACTACTTGTACTAAGCACTTTTTCAAGCACTTGGCTTCGAGTACATTCACTAGGACTGTTTTTTATTTTAGCCTTTTTAGAGTTGTAAATTTCCAGCCGGTTTATAGTTCGTACTCAGAGATGCAGAATCTACCCGTGAGATTGGAAAATTTTTCTCGACAAAAAAAATTTCCCGACATAATCCACGAACAGAACTTTTTTTTGCAAATATATTTGCAAAAAGATATTCCAATTGTTCAAAAAAATTTCCCGAATCAATAAGCTTTCTCCCGAGGACCGTCGGAACAAACAGACAGATTCTATAGCTCTGTTTATACCTCTCACTATTTATTCATTATAAATATTTTAAATGTTTCATTGAAATTTCAAAAATTTGTGAATCTTTCGGTTCATAAAGATTTATAAACTAGACTTGGACACTGTTCAGTGTTTTACAAAAGTCATTACCATCTTCAACATTCGGTTCTTTTCTGTATTGTCGATGAATGTGACTGAGAAAAAGGTTGCCTAATCGATTATAACTACTATCCGTTCCAAATGGTTAGACCGCTGGTTGCTTTTTGAATAACTTTTGATAGGAATGAGATAGAGACCTACGATTTTCGCTGTTCAATAGCCAAGACTTGAGCAGAACTTTTCACAAACGGAAGCAACTTTTGAAAAAAATCCGGAGATCGGGTTTTCAGAGGATCTTTGGAAAACCAGCTCCGTTCTCAGAAAACTAACATACAATGTTAGTAATTTTTTTGCATGCGTAGATAGTTCGGACGTTACTCTACAAAATTATGCAAGTCCCGGCTCTCTAGTTATCGTCGTTCGAGCAGGGCTCGCTTTCCCCGAGCACGCGTCTATCTCCGAGCAGACATCTCTGGGAATCTCAAAATGCCATGGACTATAAGTAATCGACTACGCTGAGCATAGTAGCAATATTTGTTTTTGTGTAGAAATGAATATAACT